CAGTGGGCAGTATGGGCAGTGTGGGCAGCACGGGCAGAGCCCAGTGGGCAGTGTGGGCAGCATGGGCAGTGTGGGCAGCATGGGCAGAGCCCAGTGGGCAGTGTGGGCAGTGTGGGCAGCATGGGCAGTGTGGGCAGCATGGGCAGAGCCCAGTGGGCAGTGTGGGCAGCACGGGCAGAGCCCAGTAGGCAGTGTGGGCAGCACGGGCAGAGTGGGCAGTGTGGGCAGCATGGGCAGAGCCCAGTGGGCAGTGTGGGCAGCATGGGCAGTGTGGGCAGCACGGGCAATGTCCAGTGGAAGTGTGGGCAGCACGGGCAGTGTGGGCAGCACGGGCAATGTCCAGTGGAAGTGTGGGCAGCACGGGCAGTGTGGGCAGCATGGGCAATGTCCAGTGGAAGTGTGGGCAGCATGGGCAGTGTGGACAGCATGGGCAGTGTGGGCAGCACGGGCAATGTCCAGTGGAAGTGTGGGCAGCATGGGCAGTGTGGGCAGCATGGGCAGTGTGGGCAGCATGGGCAGTGCCCAGTGGACAGTGTGGGCAGCGTGGGCAGTGTGGGCAGCATGGGCAGTGTGGGCAGCATGGGCAGTGCCCAGTGGACAGTGTGGGCAGTGTGGGCAGCGTGGGCAGTGTGGACAGTGCGGGCAGCACGGGCAGCGCCCAGTGGGCAGACAGGGCCTGGGCTCTCATCCTGGACCCCACCACCCCCAGCTATGCCTACATAGAGTTTGCCTCCCAGAGCTCTGCCCAGGCCGCAGTGGAGCTGAACCAGAGGACCTTCCGAGGACGCGTCATCAAGGTGTGTCCAGCCTATCTCCAGCTTGTGGGCCACCCTGGGTGCCGAGCCCTCTGCACAATACCCCTCGGTGACTGAACGTGGCAGGCCACCTGCCTCGGGACGCCCCGCCTCCCCGCCGGGCCCCTCTCTGCTCCTGGGGCCTGAGCTGGGCAGGGCAGGCAGAGGCAGGACCTGGCTGGTGCCTGGGTAGGTCATGCGCCCCAGCTGTGTCTGGGCAGTGGCAGAGGGACAGTTGGGGCTCCAGGGCTGTGCCCTGCCCTCAGAGCGCCCCACAAAGACCTCCACCCAGAGCGCAGCAGGGACTCAGGCAGGGCCGGTAAGTGGCTGGGTGGGGGGGGGGGCGGGGGGGGAGGCAAGCAAGCCTGGCCCCGATGGGGGCTCAGGGCCGCCGTCCGCACTAGCTCCAGAGCCATGGCAACCAGGACCTCAGGCAGGGCCCAGTCAGTACCCCAAAGGCTCCCAGCTGGGGTGCGTCCCGCACTGGTCCCCAGAGGCCTCGCAGGGGTGGCTTTGCAGCTGGCTCCCGCGGCCTGCGCGCTCCCAGGCCCCAAGTGTCCTCCACTTCTGAGGACCCTCCCGAAAGCCACCGCCTGCCTTTGTGCTGGCTCCCTGTGCAGGGGTGGAGGAAGACTCTCCCAGAGGTTCAGATCACATTGACGGGCTGGTCAGAAGATGAGATCGTAGAGGCTGGGTGTGGAGTGATCAGCCGTGCTCCTCAGGGGAGCACTTGTTCCAGGACACGTCTGTGCGTCAGGATGGCCTGTAAGGGCCTTTCGGGGTGGCCTGCACCCCGTGCACACAGCATGGCAAGTGGACCAGGCCTGGGAACTCTGGGTAGGGAAGAGGAGGGAGGGGAGGACTGGCACTCTGCATTCCTCAGCTAACTGGTTTTAAAGAAAAGTAGAAATGTGTGTGTGTGTCAGCAATAAAGTATCAGTAATTAGAGTATTTTTAAAGATATAGATCTGCTGTCTCCTCCTGACTCATGCTGTCTTTTCTCTGGGTCCCCCAAAGAAAGGGCGGACATGTGATATGGCTATGGGTCCCCGCTGTACCCCACAATCTGCTGTGAGCAAAGAGGGCAGCCCCCAACACGCAGCCCACCCTCCAGGTTGGGACGAGTGGCAGAGGCCTCACCCACCTCCGTGTGGGCCCATGGTGGCCCCGGTGCAAGTAGGGACACGCGGCTTCTCCGCGGATGGAGCCATCCTGCACACTGTGGTCCGAGGCAGAAAGGAGGCTGGGCCAGACGCTCATTTCATCAAACGAATCACTAACAGAAGCTCACAGCTCCGAGGTGACCCCTCGCCTCTGCTCACTTCATTCCTTATGCCCCGCGGAGCTGCTGAACGCTCTCAGGCCCTAACCCATACCCTTCCTCCAGCACTGAGACCTGGGACCCGTGCCCACCCTGCTCGGGCCTCCAGGTGCTGCCGTACACCCCAGGGTCACTCAACCTTTGACCTTGAGACAGCACTGCCTCTACTAAGGTGAATGGTGTTCCCCAAAACATAGCTGCCTCACCAGGTCTTTGCAAATGTCTTTACCTGGCATTAGCTGGAGATCTCCAGGTGAGATTGTCTGGGCTATCTGGGTAGGCTCTAAATCCAATGGCTCAGGCGAGATGGACAGAGAGGCGGCAAAGGTGTGCACACCCACAGCTGGCAGCAGCCGCAGGACTTCCGGCAAAGCCAGAGCTGGCCCTGCCCCCTCATTAAACGTTCTTTCTTCGGAGCCGTAGGGATTGCTGCTCTGAGCAGGAGGAAGCTGGTCAGTGGTAGTAGGAAGGCCTCCAAGAACACACAGCGTGACCTGTCTCCAGCACCAGGGGTCTCTAGTAGTGACCAGATCTGCCCTGCCAGCCACTGCAGCTCCCAGGACTATCTGCCCTGGGGAAATGGAGGGGTCTGGTTGCTTTCTGAGGCTAAGGGTGAGCCTTCCCAAGGCAGGGCCTGCCCTCAGGAGCTCGCGAGCTGCAGGCGCTGAGCTGTGGTCTGGATAACTCCCGTAGCCCAGCAGGGTGTCCCCGAAGCAGAGGGGATGGCCTCTGTTCTGCATGGCTGCCACCATGCCCTCAGCTGGGCAGGCCCGTCATCAGACCCGTACCATAGAGTAGCTGCTCTAAGGAGGGCCTGGGGGTCTTTTTTCTCCCTGACTCGGGCTTGCACAGCTGGGATGGGAGCTGAACAAGCACCCCCGAGTGGGAAGGACCCCAGGCACAGGAAGCATGGGGTGGGCAGGCAAGCACAGCAGGCAGGGGTACACGACAGGTCACCTAGACGAAGAGCCACAGCTGACCAGGGCTGCCCGAGCAGCTCTGCCAGGCTCAGCCTCGAGTGTGGAGAGGAGGCCCCGCAGGGGTGATGTGGGCAGCACAAAGGCCAGCAGGCGGCAAAGCCCTGCTTTCTAGAGCCTGAGGCCTGGACGGGCTGCCGCTAACAGGAATCCCACACAGCAATGGCTCAGGACAGGGCGAGTTTTATTTTCTCACAGGAGAGGCTGAGCGTAGCCAGTCCAGGACTGGCCCCTGGCACAGGCTTCTTGCTTTCTGCTCCATCCTGCGCGTGAATCTCGTCCCCACATCTCAAGAAGGCAGTGTGAGCTCCAGTGGTCACCGCCAAGTAGCAGGCAGAAGGCAGAGGTGAAGGGCACCTCCTCCCCATCCACAGGGCTTTCCCGCAGGACTCTCTCCACGCCTCACACCTGCTGTGCTGCAGAAGGAACACGCAGCCTCACCCTGTCTCCAGGAACCCTAGGGAACGGGGAGAGGCAGGCAGCCCGCGGACGGGGTGACCACTCCGGGCAGCTCCATCCAATCCTGCCCTGTCCTCAGACACAGGCATCAGGCTCAGCACTGCTGCTTACTTGCTGTCCTTCTAGGCCCCGCTGCCTGCTCACCAGGGGTAGGCCTGGGGCTTCTCAGGGAAGTTAAAAAATGAACCTGTGCTCCCTAGAAGGGAAGCAAGTCAGCTGCAGACAGCTCCCCTGACGAGCCCTGACCAAGCCTTCAGAGACTGCCGGGAGCTGCTGGCTCAGAAGCCAGCGTGGAGCAGGGTCACCAATGGGCCTGGGTCCAAGGATGGCCCCCATGGCTTGCCATGGTATCAGGTGACCCAAGGGGCACCAGCCCCACCACGGATGCCAGGAAGCAGCTGCTCCCACTGCCCTGGTCACGGGCCATCCTCTGGATGCCGGCTGCACAGGACTGGGGAAGGCAACCAACTGGGGAGCTCTGGCTTGTCTGCAGGGCCGCAGGGCCCCAGGCCATCTTCTAACCTCCGGGGCCCCTGAGACCAGGAAAAGGCTTGCCCCTGCTCTCTGGGCATTTGGAAACTACTGCAGCTGATCAGATGTGTGGTCTACGAGGCTTTTTTGTTTTGGTTGGTTGTGGGGCTTGAACTCTGGGCTTGAGTGCTGTCCCTCAGCTCTTTAGCTCAAAGCAAGCGCTCTACCACTTGAGCCACAGCACCACTTCCAGTTTTCTGGTGGTTTATTGGAGATAAGAGTTGTACAGCTTTTCCTGCCAGGGCTGGCTTT